CGCAAGACTTCTTATCTATCTTCATTTAATAAAGTTGATCTTTTCTGGCTCATTAAATGACTTTATCATTTTATAAGTTATGTATAATCATATTTTGTTGAATTGACAATAGGTTTAAGTCTAAAGTGTTTAATAATGTGTCCAATGCTCTAAAGAGCTCTGGACCCCACGTGACTCTCAGTTAGTAGACGCCATATTGGCAGGTAAAAGAAGCTAAACAAACACGGATCTAACCATGAATGTGAACGGGATCGGCTTGGATTTTACTTCGTCTGAGTTTACTTCACACTTTAAAACCGAAGAAATCATTTTATATAGTCAGAAATTAAATAGACTAAACATCTCCGGCCGTTACCGTGCCCCTGGGATACTTTTTAAAAACGCCAGAAGCTGTCGGAGCCGACTTCTTACCGGACCTGGCTGGGGAACCCCTTGGGATTTACCCGGAGGAGCTGGCTCAGGCGGCTGGGGAGAGGGAAGTCTGGGCCTCTCGACGCTACTGCCCCCGCAACCCGACTCCGGATATGCGGATGAAAATGGATGGACAAATAACAGATTTACACGTAAGTAGTTTAAATAGAGTGCTGTGCTGTTTGAATGTATAAACTGAACGCCATGAGAAATCACTAGTCTGATTTTTTCCGTGAATAAAATAAAAATGTCAGGCAGGAGCGTCTCAGGATCTGTCTGAGATCTGACTCGGTGAGACAGATAATAGCAATCCAAAGTGCTTTTTATGTGTGATCTGACAACTGATCAACCATTGCTTAAAAATTAAATACAGCTTAGCCAGTTAATTGCTGTGATCATAAAACACGGAAACGGCAGCACTCAGAACTCATGAGGCAACGTTTTACGTGATGTTTACTTGTTGCTATGAGTAATAAGACAGAAAAAGCCACGCCAAAATAAGTTTAGGAAGCCCGCTAAGAATCATAATAAAAGCATTTAAAATAAATACCATACACAGTTGAGGAAACATTGGTTTAAGTACCTGATATGAAGTGGTCGCTGCATAAGCGAAAACCTTTACTCTCGGGATCCCACAGCTTCATTTTAGCCCGGTCACTAGCGCGTTTTATAACAATGATCCAACGTTTGCGGCGCTCCGGAACTTGGGGAATCCTGTAGATGGCTCATTCCTTATGTCGTCCGTGTCTGTTCTGCATCCTGGGGCACAACAGGAATATACCATATTTCCTGTTTGATTGAGTTTTCTGACAATAACAAATAGTCCAGCTGCCAGCTTCTGCCTGCCAAATGGCGCCGTTTCGATTTGAACTGTTGCATGCCGGGAAATGTGACGTCAACTCCCGGAGCTCTATGGGCATTGTTAAACTCTAAGTTTGTTCAGTAGTTATATCTTTTTTGCATTTAAAAATGGTTGAGCACTGATTAGTTAGCATTTGCTAATGAAGTAGATGTTCTCATATAGCTAACTCGGTGAGCTATGGAGGTGGCTCTTCCCTCCGGTCTGGAAATGGGGACTAGTGAAGAATGGACTACTAAAAAAGTGCTTTGGACTATAATTTTTTCCTTTTGATTGTGTTATTTGCTTTATTTCTGTTAACCACTCATTCAAGTTCTCCTTCAATTAGGGGTTTTACAGCAGCCTGCAAACAAGAGATGCATTACTGCCACCTACTGACCTGGAGTAGGAACAACCACTGACCCTACATCCTCCTAAACACCTTGCCATAAAACCACAAACTCACTGGCTGATGAAAACAACATAAATGGTCATTTTGGACATACGCTTCATAGCATACGCAAACAGTACAACGTTTTCAACTAATAGAAACAAAACCATAGCCATAGTGTGTGTGTGTGTGTGTGTGTGTGTGTGTGTGTGTGTGTGTGTGTGTGTGTGTGTGTGTGTGTGTGTGGTTGGTTAAGTTTTAAGACACCAGTGAGTAAATAAGGATTTGTTCCTACTGTGTTCCTTGGATAACTACC